TCGTTTATTTGTTTATGCATAGAGATATGTAGAAGACATAAAGACATAAAATGTCACATTTGCAAAATTAGCATAACTACATGGAGCTCATAACTAAAACTGCAAGGCAAAGACGCAATAGTTAGAGCTTTCATTCCAACAGCTGTGCATGTACTCGCTGGCCACGTCATCGACAGACTCGAGATGATCGTTAAAGTGTAACCACTCGAAACTCCAGCGCGGATCACTCAGACTGCTCGTAACGGCACATGGTTATGTTAATAGATTGAACGATTTTTAAAACTGTTTATTATTGTGCTTAATATAGCTGTAAGATTTACTACTGTCTAGGGTGGGATGAGATACGTTGTTTTTTTTTTAACTAATGCGTTATTTTTAAGGGAATGTTTTCCCGGCGACAGCTTGTTATCGATCAAGGCAACCGGAACATTAAGGTATTTTTCGTACTGGCCAGAACCGTGGATGTTGGAAGGGCAATTAATTAATTAATCATTCTGAGGCAGGCAACATTATTTATGGATATAAAACATGTAACTGCTTTTACAAAACTGTATTATTCAATAAAACAACGGGTTGAAATTATTATTGGGAAGGATGTAGATAAAATATTGGTTAGTAAAAAAAGCTGGTTATAATTTACGCTATAAAATCTTACACAAAATATCCAATTAGTTAACAATTAGACATGATATATGTACCTATTACATGTTTGTATTGTGTTTTTTTTTATATAGTAGAGAGGGCAAACGATCTAGTTTTGCTATAGGCTGAAATGTTCACAAAATCGGTGGACTGTGAGAGCAAAAAGTAAAACATTGTTCTTTAGAAATAATGAGCAAACGTGTCCTACATTTTGTTCAAAGCGGCCTTGCTGATTGAAGCTAGTAAAAGAATGCACGTAAATTTCTCCACTTTATAAACTTTTATAGCACAGCGATTCCATATACATGGAATCACCTTGATTTCAGTTATATAAATCAAAAGGTTTTTCTCTAAGTAATCGACGTAGATGATTGACATGTGGCTTAGTTATTAAATGCGTAAAAATGATATCATCGACTTTAGCAGTTAATAATAGAGACTCCTATGCTATAACCGTGATGCCCACAATATTGACCAGAGAACGAAAATTTTTATGAGACTTTTCGCTCCTTCTTTGAGATAAAAAGTCTGAATTACTTTAGCTTTCTACTAGGAGATCTGATATGGTAATACATATATAATATATTATAATACCTACTTTTACCAGCGGCTTTGCTCGCGTGGAATTTGCAGAAGATGGATAGAAATCCGTATGGCGTTTTTTCCAGGTATAGGAACAAAAAGGTATTAATTTAATGATTTTTTCTATCTATTAACACAATCCACCTCTTTGCCAAATTTCAATTAAGCCCGTTTAGCGTAACACAGTGACAATTTTTGAAACAGACAAACTTTCGTATTTATAATACTTTTATAATTTATGACTATGCTATCAACAAAATACTTTAGCAGTAGGTGCCTGATAGCGCTTAGATTAAACCATTTTTAGAACACGCCGTAGCGTAGTCGTAACAATAAAATATGCCCGATTTAGACTAAGAACGCTCCACATTCCATAAAACTTACTTCTACTTATGGAAATATTTTACTTTTCATAAGAGCCCAAATTTATATAAACACTTTTATATCATGATACAGTTAAGGTTTACTTTTAAGTTAATTAAAATAAAAGATGTGTAAATTAAGAGATATTTTCCACTTATTTACAATTAAAATTAACATTTTTGTAGACATGACTAATATAAATTTCGTTAGCACCAAAAGATAGATTAAATGGCATCCGACCCTAGCAACTATTTCTGAATATTATCATAACATTCTGAAATTAACATAAGTACATGCTGTAAGTATATACAGGACAAAATAAGTAAAAATCGTACAGATTTTGTGTTACGGTTAGCATTACAGCCTTTTAAAGTCCACTGCTGAACATAGGCCTCACCCATAGATTGTCTCACTCTCATCAGTTGCTCTAGCTGCCACGTTTGGTAGGCTAGTTGGCAACCACAATATTTTTATTGTTAGTTTATATTAGTAGGACACTGCTGCCTATCTTCAGGTTTGTTTCCCACTGTTGCATCTTACAACACCCATGGAACGATATTGGGTAGTGGATATTACACCGCCACTATACCATCATATGTAAAAAGATTAAATAAACATTAATAATTTATTTACATACAAACAAACTTCTATCACTGAAATTGTAGTTGGTAGCCCAATATACCTTCCCAATGCTGAAGTTACGATTGTGAATTTTCTACAATCATTTGGTCGTCAGTCTCATTGTTGGCAAATATAAAAAAATAACATTCTTAAAATAATATTCTTCCTTACATCATAGATTCCCTGTTATATTACCAATTTAACTTTGCATAAATTCAAGGTACATATAAAAACTATTTTTATGAAAAAAAATCTTAAACTTTATAATTATTTTTAAGATTAGAACGCATAATTATAATGAGCTCCCTCAGACTTTTTTGAATTATGTATTAAGGTTCTCTTGCCCCTTCTTTTCACAAGGTTTCATGCAGTAGGGACTTCTTGGTGTAGCTTTTATGGCTTTCAAAATGTGCTTTGTAAACACAAATTTTGAATTAAAATATTTTGGATTTAAGTTTTAATACATTATCAGATACACTGATGACAACATATCAAAACCTAAATACCAACAACTTGGTTTAGGTAACCTAAATGCATTATTAGATTCATGGATCAGCAGTCTGATACTGTGAAGATTACACCATATGGATGTTAGTTATAGTGCAAATGCAAATGCTGTAGGCTCTAGAGCATCCACAATTCAACCATAATCTATGTTGTTTGTGTATTAAATTAAATAAGGCTTAGTAATACTTTTATATGAATACTTACATACCTAATTTATTTAATGTTTATAAACATAAAAAAAAAGAAATAAGATATCAGATAACAATTTATATTATAAATATACAAATAGATGGGCACTCCATTCTCTCCTCAAACACAATTCTATACCAATAAAATCAGATGGCATGTTGATAGATTCTGTGAAGGTAACCATAACATGACAAACAGAGATAAATAATAGTGTTATATATGACTTCTGATTAAACAAAATGTTGTAAAAATATTATATGTGATCAACTAACCTAAGAAATACAATAAACATACTTATTACACAAAACCAGTTACATAAATGCTTTCAACTGTCACACTTTTTGATGAATATTATTTAATAATTACTTAGGAAAAAAACTATATACCTAAAACAAAATTAACCAATTTGTTATAAATATATTATCTTATTTATATCTGGTATTACTGTTAAACTTAACTGTAATATATTTAAATAAAACTAATTTTACAGATTTTATCGCGTATATTGACTTATTTTATATTCCCAATGTTTCGGGTGCTTTCCAGCACCCGTGGTCACGGGGGACTGAGGTGTTTGACATCCTGATGTCATAGTTAGCCCAGCTACCTTCAGTTTTTTAATATTAATTTTTGGTTCGATTTACGCAGAATGAGCTTACAGTATCTTGAAGTCTAGCAGTTGTATACTTGGGTTTAGATTTGATTTTATTAATTATGGGATCCCAAGCAGATGGCAGCACCCATCCATCTTCTCTATTGAAATTAGGATGTTTTTTAATTTCAATAGCCTCGCGAATCATCCTTGGGAGGAATCGGTGTTCTTTTGCGAGGATTTGTGGTTTATCAAATCTAATGTAATGGCGGGGACGATCTTGAACATGTTCACAAACTGCAGACATCTGCTTGGGATCCCATAATTAATCAAATCAAATCCAAACTCAAGTATACCACTGCTAGACTTCAAGATACTGTAAGCTCATTCTGCGTAAATCGAACCAAAAATGAATATTAAAAAACTGAAGGTAGCCGGACTAACTATGACATCAGGACGTCAAACATCTCAGTCCCCCATGACCACACATGCTGGAAAGCATCCGAAACGTCGGGAATATAAAATAAGTCAATATGTAAATATAACAAATCATTAACTATAATATATTTTATTATGAGAATCTTTATAAATATTATAAGTATAAAAAGAACAAATAAATGAAAATAAATTTTCATTTTCCCTTTTACTTATAGCCATATTAATAATGAACAAGGTATCAGTTAGTAACCAATCCATTAGTGAAGTTAATAGTTTCCAATTTAATTAGGCATTGGTAACATCATATGGCCCAGCCCTAGAAACATTTACCCATCCCTCAATATTATACCTACTTAATATAATATAAAGCAATATTAGTCTTATAATAAAATACTTTTTATATTTACTTAAATACTAAGCAAAACTTTGCATTTTAGGTAAAATATTAGTAATAAGTTGTATTTATATTTGCAGCATTGCACATTACCAAATTACTAAATGATACAGTGAACTATTAACTTGTCTTAAATTCTTAAATTGAATACAATTTTTTTTTTTCTCTTATTTAATATTGCTTTAAGCAAATCTAATTAGAAAACTGGATTTGTATGAATGTAATTTTATTTCTCCTATAGCTTTTTATTTATATGTTTTGATTACAGAAGTAAAGAAGAATAACACACTTATAAAATTTAAATCAACTAAATTAATTCAAGGTGTTCAGTAAATTACTTATTTGAATGTAAATAGCTCATGTGCATGTGCAATTGTAATAACTCAGACCTATAGAATATATTAATACATCTAATATTAAAAACAACATCGAAATTAACAAAAACTTTGCCGGTGTAAACAAATACTAGGTGTAATTCGCAGAACCAAATTATCGAAGCTTATCGTCTTCGATCGATTTAACCAGAATTTGAAAGGTTTAGAAAGTTACGGGATAACGCTACCGAAATTAACAAAATTAATGCACAGTATGATATAACTAAGCAAGTTTAGGATATTGAGGACATTTAATCTGTTGAAAAGGCATCACGATTTATTTATAAATTCAACTTACCGGCCACAACTGTATCACTCAAGTCAAATTTCACTGGTTTAGGAAACTCCCTCAACTTCCGTCCGTTCAATTTTAATTCACCACTTAAGTAAGCATCCTCCAAAATCCTTTCTAAAGATTTCGTTAACTGACTATGAATATTATTGTGACCATTCATATTTCCACTCACATTTGGCCCTAACACGGCCATATTCTTTTGAAACTAAAACGAAACTGACAACCAACTGACATTTTTAAATTTAGTCTATGCCATAGAGTTGCGAGAGTTGATCTTACCAGTTTCGCTATTAATTATGGTCCATGTTATTTTAATTTTATTGGAAGCCGTCTTAATTTTGTTGCTCAAATTCAAAGACTTGGCTATGGAGCACACTCTTTTAAATATTTTTGAATATTTTTTTACATATTCCTTAAATTCGACGCTATGATTATATGACCTTTCATGGTAAAGATCATATAACCTATGCCTGCTCTTATGGACTCCTACTGTCGCCCATTCATTGAATGCCTTCTGACTGTTTGAATGATTATGCTGTTACTCTACGCTTGTCAAGTTGTATTTTCTTTTTTAGTAATATACTCTTACTACTAGTTATTTTAGCATTGTCTTAATTGCAAAAAAAATGATTTACATACTTTAGCTTCCTTAATGTGATCATAAGATATACAAAAATAGTTTCTAGATTTAATATTAATAGATTTTTAAAATAATATTGACACTTTAAAGTGGAGGTGGGCAAAGTGTATCATTTTCGGGATTGGAACATTTGCATCTTGATCACTGAGATGTTCCGAAACACTGATATGTTTCATTTGGCTCATTTGTATCATCGACTCAAAAGATATAAAAGAAAGAATGTTCCGAATACATTAAGTTGCGTCGCGGGCGTTTATTACTGACTGATCCGTGAAATGTTATGTGGCAACAATGCTGAATAATATAAGTGCTTAGATTATTTATTGTGTACCGTAATAAGATTGAATATAAAATCGATTCTCCTTCATACTTTAACAAAAATGTCACTATGTCAATTCATTATTTACAAAAATGTCCATTTACACAAAACAGAAATGTCTATGTACACAGAATTTACTCGTAAAGTATCATAACTCTAAACTTTATGATGAAAAGGAAGAAAGTAAAGTCACAATAATTACTACGCAAAGAAATCCTAAACATAACTCAGTATGTTTTCGTAAACAGGCGCTAATGAATATAAACAATTTGACAAGTTTTACAGTGGTAGAGCCACGCGGTAGAATTGATGTGGCACGGTTGGGCCGGCTCGAACCGGGGTGGTACCACGACCTCACAGAATACCAGCGTGAAGTAGAGGTTTACCTCTGCGTTTCGCTTGGTGAGTGCAGGTGGCCGGAGGCCCTTTTTACTGGAAATGAGGCATTCCATCTTAGTCCTCACGGGTGACAACGCATCTGCATTTTGATTCGCAAACGAGGATAGATGTAGATGTCTATGGGCCGCAGCAACCACTCATAAACGAGCACACACACCATCAGGTGGACTGTGTGCTCGTTTATCACCCTTATCCTATAAAAAAAAAATCAACGTAAAATGACAACTTTTTGTTGCAAACGTTACATACAAAAAACGACCGTATAGTATTTGACACATAAGCGCCTTAGTGGTAATTTTTACGTGCATGAATAACGTCAGCGAAAATCCGTACGAGTTGAGTGATACACTTCTTATTTGTTATCTCTATCTGACTTGTGTGAATAATAATTATTTCGCCCGCTCACCCGCCACTCGTGAGTCAATCGTTAAGTTAATCATTGTCTCAGTCTCTCTCTCGCTCGTGGCTCAGTCGCCTCGCAAGCGACGCGTCGCGCGAAATGAGCAAAGAGCAAAGTAATGTTTCACTGTTCCAGATACAAATGATACATTTGAAACGTTGTTACTGAAGCAATCTTTTGTGTCACTTCAGTGATTCGTATCAGTGAGTCGTTTCCGTAAAGAGATACACACGCCTACTTTAAAGGTCTCCGACACACAAGCGGCTTGCGGTGGCGGCTAACCGCGAGCCGCAGCTCCAGCCACTGTAACAACACACCACCGCGGTCAGCAGCGGCGGCCTGAAGCGTCATTCGCTGTAGTGTCTGTGCTACGATTAGACGTCAGTAAACTAGGTTAACCGGGATGAATTCAGCAATATTGTCGTATAATTTGCTTTTAATTTTTTTTTAAACGTTACCCACACTAGGATTTTCTCCTGTATCGTGGAGGCAGTTTACAAACATATATTGCACAAGAACAAACATCTAGACCCGGAACAATTATTTGTAGGCCATACAAATACTTGTTCCGTGCAGGATTGAATCCTAATACTTTTGTAATAGCGTTGCCAATTATCATATAGTACTGGATAATTTTGCAGTTTCTATTAAAATCTCTAAATTTAGCACCATTTTTCACGCGGTACACGCAGCCTGTTGTAAAAATTTGCAACTGACTGCGCTGTGGCTAACGGCCATCGATAGAAGCCGCACGTTCGCTAATAGGCGGAGGGGGTGGGGCGTGCGGCCGCGGCCAGCCGCTGGCAGGCCGCGCCATAGCCGCACGTGTTTGCAGACTCACTTACATTGCAATCGAATACAACTGGCTGCCACCGCAGCCGCCACCGCAAGCCGCTTCTGTGTGGGAGACGCTTTAAACTAGTCTCTACTACAATGCAGGGCGGCGAAAAATTGTGAACTATTGTTGTTGAATACCATTCAAAAAATCATTATGAAAAAATCAGTGTTACGATCATAGACATAGAATATACTGGCGTACAGACGGTACATACCGACATAATCTGCAAGGTAGAACAAAATTCCTTATGGCAAAAATGCAAGATAGAAAACGATACCAAATCTCATGACTCTGTAACCAATTTTGAATGACAGATCTGCACAAACCGGCACGCAAGAAATAAGCTCTGGTTATTTTTAGTAAGTAACTTTTTTTCAAAATGGTTACTTGTTCTCTAAGTGACTGTGGTGTTAATAATAGAAATAATCCTGATAATTGCACATTTCACAAGTAAATTCTCAAGATGTCATCAATCTTATGACGCGTTTTTCGGTTAAAATTTATGTTATATACCAAACGGAATCCTGTAAAAAAGGGCTATAATTGATTACAAAATGTTAGAGGATAAATTAAAAAGCTAAGTAAGCTATAATTTTAAACACTTTTTACACTATTATTTAAGTTATAAACGGGTTTAATTACCATTTTTGTTTTAATTTGCTTTCGCAAAGCATTAAAACAAAACATGGTATGTAATTAAACCCGTTCATTTAATAATAGGGCAAGTAAGTAAGACGTCCAAACTGAAAATTCTTTAAAAATTGAAAAATAACTTCATCTGCGAAAGGCTGCAGTTTTTTTGAAAGCAATCACAAAAACTGAAAAAGATAAACAAAATCATAAACTATCGCTTTGTTTTGATTATCAGAAGAATTTGCCACTACCTGTTACTAATGTCTGTATAAAATATTATTCACGTCAACTGTGGTTACACAATTTTGGCAGGTATTCACGATCTTTCTAACAACACGGCTTCAATGTATTTATATACTGAAAACTACGGACAAAAAGGGCCAAATGAAGTCATAACAGCTTTGGCAGACTACATCTTCAACTTTCAGAGCAGTCACTTGGAGCTGTTTTGCGATAACTGTTTTAGCCGAAATAAGAATCGTTATCTGTTCACTTTCCTGAATCAATTATGTGCCAATAATATCTTTCAAAATGTAACAGTTTCTTACCCGAATCCTGGACATAGCATGATGCCAATAGATCGAGATTTTGAGCTCATAGAGAGAAAGCGCATTAAAACGGAAAAGGTATATACACCTGGCTATTACATAGATATGATAAAAAATTCACGCAATACACGCAAATTCAAATTGTTTTTTTGAAAAGAATCTTGGAGATGAAGAAAATGCTGGAGATCGAGTATTACAAACTAAGAATTACAAAAGCCTGTATGAAACTCATGTTAAACCATCAATCAGCGGAAAGTACGATTTCAAAGATTTCGACACTCTGAATTTAGTACTTCCATGGCAGGTCAAAACTTTAAAAAGATTACATTATATCGTGTTGGTATGGGTGGTAAGATGACGGCAGATCCCAGCAACTGTTATCAAGGGATGTACCATTAAAACCAGGAAAATTCAGAATATAAAGAAACTCTTTTAATACGTGCCTGTTGAAAAAACGTCTATTTTATGATGAGATACTGTTAGCAAATATCTCTTCAGGAAAAGAGCAGGATAATGAAAATAACGACACACAGGAAGAAATTTTCGAATAAATAGTTATAGTATTTGCGATTCTAAACTAAATATATGTAAAATTTAGTTTTTTGTAAGATAAGAATGAAGTTTTATTATTTTTTTATTTATATTATGTAAGTGATTATATTATGTATATATATAGTTATATATAGCCAATTGTCTATATAAAAGGCACTTGTTTTGGCTCGTCGCTCACTTAGCGGTTAGCCACCGTAGAGTCTATATCACCTGAGGATGCCTCGTGTAGAGGCGAAACACGTGTCGTATTATCGTCAGTGGTGTGTCTTGCTTACTGTAGTGGTGTTGGGAGTAGCGGTGCTGGGATTAGTGGTGACGGGGATAGTGCACGCAATTGAGGGAGGGTGGGAAGTGCTCTTCATACTAGGTAAGACACATCATTTTATTTTATAACGCGGATATTTGCGAAGTAAATTTTTGTAAAAGCTTTTATATAATTGATTTCCGCAAAGTAACGCCTGATTCTATTAATTACAAGGAAAATGGATTTAGTGACTTTTAGAACTAAGCCATCCAGTTATACATTGTAACGTCAGGCTCAGAAGGGCTAGAACCCAGAGCCGTAAAGCCGGTTAAAAAAAACAGACATTTGAATAACCTCTAACTTTCTTCCTTTCTTATTTCTTATAATTAATTTAGCTTGTAATTTAATCAAATACAAAATGACAATATTAACTCTTTTTCGCGTAGCAAATTTATCGAAAGTTATAAAGAGAGCAAACAGTTGTCAAATAGAAGTAAGTTTTAAAAATTAAAGTATTTTTATGTGAATATTTAACAGTAGGGTACCTATTAGGTTGTTTCTATAATATTTTATTATATTTTAGTTCTTCTCCGAACAGTATGTTTAAAGAAAATAATGGAAAATACACAAGTTTGAAAATTTTTATACAAATCGGAAATTGTGCATAAAGTGATATTACATATAGTATTATTATTTACCTATTAAATATTATATTGTCTATATTTTGACATTTTTAAATTTAGATCTTTAAAAATATTGTATGCAAGCAAAAATTTTGTTGTTGTACTAAAATTGACAAAATACTTCAAATGCAAACATCATCTTTACCCACCCATATCTGATGTAATAGTTATGCAATAAAGTAAGAAGTAGGCTTTGCAAGGACAGAGAGATGGTGTATGCCAGATCTTAATTAATAATATCCAGACTGGGTACATGGGGCAGCATTAAAGACACAAGTAGTTTAGTACTATGATAACCAACTTATCTGCCAAGCGTGACAATTTTGGCAAATTACACCCACTATTTGAGATACTTTATGCAGTAGCAGTTGTGTAGCACTGTTTGGAATCTAATTTTTCTTTGACATTTTATTTCAGGCTTATTCTTCTTATGTAAAATATGCAGAACATAAACCTTTAGAAAGAATAAGGAATATTGGTATTTCAGCCCATATAGACTCTGGAAAGACTACTTTAACAGAAAGAATATTATTCTACACAGGCAGAATTGATGTTATGCATGAGGTAAGTAGTATATTTAATTCACAAATATTTGACTCAGCACTGCAGTAAGAAAAACCAATAGAAATTTTTGTAAATGGTCTTTTAATATGAATGGAATAAATATATATGTGTTATTGCAAATTTTGACTGGTGTCCCTGATGGAGGGTTATTTTATAATATGTTTTGGGTGTGTTTGTTCATCATAAATAATAATTTATAGTGGCAAGTAACATTTTCATACAAAACAATGGCATCTATTTGTATAAAAATGTTATGATTTACAATTTTTTTCTGTATTGTAAAATTTTTCATTCATTTATTACAGCCCTTCACAAGTCCACTGCTGAATATAGACCTCCCACAAGGGATGCCACAAAGAACGGTCCTAAACCATCTGCATCCATTGACTTCCTGCAAGTCTTACCATGTCGTCACTATCTAAAGAGAGATTCCCTACATTTCATCTACCTATATGAGGCTGCCACTCGTGAAGCTTTCTTCCCCATCAGTTGACAGTTCTTTGAGCTATATGACTCGCCCATGGTCACTTCAGCTTACTAATCCGTAAAATTATAAAATTATTTAAAGTTAATAATAATAGCAAAATTTGTTTATACTGGTTTAGGTAAAAGGCAAAGACAATGTTGGCGCAGTGATGGATTCAATGGAACTTGAACGCCAAAGAGGAATTACTATTCAGTCTGCTGCCACCTACACAATATGGAAGGACCATAACATAAACATCATTGACACACCAGGACATGTAGACTTTACAGTGGAGGTAGAAAGAGCATTGAGGGTGCTGGATGGAGCCATATTAGTCCTTTGTGCTGTGGGAGGAGTTCAGAGTCAAACACTAACAGTTAACAGGCAAATGAAACGCTACAATGTACCATGCCTGGCGTTTATTAACAAGCTAGATAGATTGAGTGCAAATCCAGAAAGGTATTTTGTTTTAAATTCTTACATCTATTAAATAATTTCAGTGTAACAGAAAGCTTTTAAATGTTTTGAAGATTTGGTTAATTTGGTGATAATTTGTAAACAAGGAATAACCACAGAATAGAATTTATCAGAAAAAGTAAATAATTTTATTACTCAGCTCGGAAAACATTGATCTGTTCTTTCCTGTAGGTAGCGTGATAATCATGCCAGAATTGTAAATATGACTTTAATCTCTTAGTTCTTTCAGAAGTTACAAAATTTTTAACAGTCAATAGTTACATTCCATTGATGGCTCCGTATCACAGTGACCTAGCATTGAGTTGCAGTACTCAGGGCCGCAGGTTGAAATCCCACACTCAACTAGTATTTGTATGGCTTACAAATAATTGTTATGTCTAAATGTTTGTAAGCGTATTGTAAAATTTTGCTGCTTAATTGTAATAATTTGATTAATAGTGTTATTTCAATTTTCTTTTTTATAAGAGTAAGTGTGAAAAATAAACAAACAATCTACCTGATGGTAAATGAATGCGGCCTTTTGCAATTATTGTATGCAAAGTGCCTCCACAATACAGGAGAAAATCCTACTATGGGGTTAACATTGCAAAAAAACATGAATATCTAAATATGAGCTGTGGTATCTCAGGCGCTAAGCGCTTGCTGTAAATTTCACAGTATGCAAGCAACCCGGGTTCAATCCCGGCCGGCAAAAATGTAATTGTTAATTGCAATTTTAAGTGATGATTCACCACGTGTTTGGTGGTGAAGGAAACCTGTGTGTCCGAGAAATAATAAAAAAAAAAATTTCGAAGACGTGAAGTTCGCCAACACGCATTTGGGCAGCGTGGCGGGCATTTCCTTGCCCTAAAACCCTCTCAGATATGAGGAGAGGTGCTTGGTTCGGTGGGACGTATATAGGCTGTAACTTTAACTTTTTTAACTTTAAGTAAATACAGAAGTTGGAGGTTCTTTCCTCATATCCCCCCTGTGAGGCAATCTATGTTGGGGGACTATGTTTAGGAGGCAGTGAATTTTTATAGGCTGTTATATGTATTTTTTAATTTTTATTTCAGGGTACTTAAACAAATGCGTTCTAAACTTAACCATAATGCAGCCTTCCTTCACTTACCTATTGGTTTAGAAAAAGAATGCCAAGGCATACTTGACCTTGTTGAAGAAAAAGCATTGTACTTTGATGGTGATTATGGTGAGAAAGTTCGCTTGGACGAGATTCCACAAGACAGAAGAGCTGAAGTGCAAGAAAGACGCCATGAATTAATAGAGCATTTGTCGAATGTAGATGAAACTTTAGGTAAGATATTTTTACTCTAAATTAACCTTTGGAATTCTTGTAATTGTTATCAACAAAATGTTGTGGTCTTAATATCAATCTATAAACGGTACAGAGGATTGATGGAGTCACTACTAAACATTTGACTTCCTTTTTTTTAAATTTATTATAAGCCAGTGCTTGACCACAATCCCACCTGGTGGTAAGTGGTGATGCAGCCTTAGATGGTAAATCGCACTGTCTCATCGTAAGTAACAAAAGCCTATTCACTCTTGCCTTGAAGACACCTAGATTGTATTCGGACTATTGCATTACAAAAGACGAAGCAAACCGTTTGTTCTAATGCGTGGAATATCGACAACAAAGGGATGAAGACCCGCCGACCGTCTGGTTGTCCGATGGTGGAAAGGAGAGGGAGGAATTAAGGCCTGTAATTCCTGCGCACACTCACCGATATGCATCCTATAGAATACCGAGAGACTGGCTACTCTGCGCCTGTGCTTGAGGCTGACAAGATTAGTTTCAACCAAATTAAGGTCACCAATAAGCCTCTTAGCACCTTTGTCCACTGAGTCCAATGCTGTCAGGTGGCATTTTGCAGCACCAGCCCATATGTGACAGCAGTACTCCATGCACGACCGGACTTGCACTTTATATAAGGTAAGAAGCTGCCCCGGCGTGAAGTACCATCGCACCCTTGCAAGGACATCAAGTTTTCTTGCGGCTGCTTTGGCTCTGGACTCAATGAACCGCCCATAGTTTAGGTTCGGAGAAAATTCAATCCCTAACAACTGAAGGCGGTCAGTGTACTCTTCAAGGATACATTCCGGAAAGTAGGAGCCAAGGTGAGCGGGCTCCTTTTAGCGGTAAAAAGGACACGCTTGTGTTTTGGAGGCGTTAAATCTCACGAGATTGGCATCGCCCCATTCGGAGACTGCCTGTAGTGTGAGACTCACACGCTCAACCATAGCCTCTCTTTCTGACTGGATTTGATCACGACTGGCCCGGGCGCTTGGTTAGTATCTCTCCACAACTGTGCTGTCGTCTGCATACCCATAGACACCGGGAATGAACAGATCATTTATATGCAGCAGAAAGAGAGTTGCGGAGAGAACGGACCCCTGAGGAACACCGACGTTAGTCGCCACAGTATTGGATAAGCAGCCATCAACGACGACCCGGAGAGACCGGTCACTCAGAAAGTCCTCCATCCAGACAATTAGGCCAGGGGATAAGCCATACGCTGAAAGCTTGCCCAATGGATTAGCGTGCCAAACCATGTCAAAAGCCTTCGAAACATCGAGGGAAACAGCAAGTGCAGACCACTGTTCTCGAGAGCTTCGCCCCATATGTGAGTGGCATACGCTAGAAGGTCCCCAGTTGATCGATTTCAGTGAAACCCGTACTAGCGATCACTGAGGAGATCATTTTGCTCTAGGTATGCCATGAGGTGGGCGTTCAATATACGCTCCTTAATCTTACAGAGTATGAAGGTAATTGAAATTGGCCTATAGTTGGCAGGGTCGGTACGGCTACCTTTTATAGGCACAGGCTGCACAATGGCCAGCTTCCAAGATTTAGGCACTATTCCAGTCCTGGATGAGAGGCGGAACAAGCGTGTCAACACAGGAGACAACTCAGGTGCACAGACCTTTAGAACTATAGCTTGTATAACATCAGGTCCACTAGCTTTGTTCACTTCTAGACTTCGCAAGGTTTTAATAATCTCCTTGTTGGTGATACGGACCTCAGACATAGAGGTACCGCAGTGAGGCAATTGAGATGGTACGCTGTTGCTACTGTCCAGACGCGAATTGCAAGCAAAAAGAGAAGTAAATAAGTCCGCTTTCTCCTTAAGTTCAGTGAGCCATCTGGTTTTACCAGCGGAGGCAGTGTAGACCGACAGAAGTTTGTCTCGACCGCTTTGGCGAGAGACCACAAAGCTCTACTGCCAGATGGTTTGACAGAGAGCTTTGTGCTGATGCGTTTAATGTGGTCGAAACTGGCTTGGCGTAATGCATTTTTGCACGACTTGGCGGCTTGGTTAAAGGCTCTCTTCTTAAGGCTAACATCCGGAGCTTTACAGTCTCGAGCATCGACCCAGGATAAGTACGCCATATGCTTGTGCTTTTCAGCACGAGCGCACTCGGCGTTAAACCAAGGGTGAGCTTTACCACCAATGGGCACGTCAGCAAAGGAGATGAAATACTCCATCGCTTGACGTATCACATTGGTTATGGCATCCGCGCGGCTCGATGGGTCTCCAGAGGAGAAGCAGACTTGTTGGTCCTGTGGTCGTAAGCGCGTATTGAGTTTTTTGGGCTAGATATTTTTTATTATAGTACTCATAGTATGAAATCTCTTATTTTGTATGATCATTTAAATTCGCAATGATTGTGGTTAAACTCCGCAGAAGATCGTGGAATTTGGCTGCCCTAACGGTTGACCGCCAGTTCAAAGTCTCTTGGTCTTTATAATTTAGTGATAATCTAGACTATCCAGCCATAAGGCACTGGGTATACACACATGTGTGTACCAAGTGCCATAAAGTGGGTCGGAAAATATTTAGTTTACTAATAACAAACCAAAAGTCTGAAATAAATTGAATTTATAATTTTAAATCCCGGCCCACAACAACATTAAGAATCCATCGCCAATCTTACATGCCCAGGCAACATCATTGTGATTTAATGAAGTTTTGTCAAAAGCACTTTTTACTCATACTTTATTGCATTTAACAATAAATTTTACTAAAAAAAGTGAATACCGTGGCACATTGTAGATGTATTTGCTATTTAATTAATATGACGTAATTTAATTCTTAGTGCCAAACATACCAATAAATTCATGAATATCGAAACACTAGTACATGGGGGTAATAGACAGTGTTTCATCATGCTCATTGCTTTTGTTATTTAACTCGTGCTTCTTACACGTTCCAATATAGTCAATTTATGCGATATTACACCGATTCGTAAACTTACTCACTAGTTCAGCACTTAAATTGGTGTACTAATATATCACTTTTACTTTACTACAAACTCTGTTTTATAATAATACTTTATTTTCCATTACAGGTGAACTATTTTTAGAAGAAAAGACACCCACGATTACAGACCTAAAACAAGCAATACGTCGAACGACCTTGAAGAGAGTCTTCACACCGGTACTTTTAGGTACTGCTCTAAAGAACAAAGGAGTTCAACCATTGCTCGATGCAGTATTGGACTATCTACCGCATCCAGGCGAAGTCGAAAACACTGCCATATTAAATGAGAAGAAAGGTTCTGAAGGGCAAAATATATTACTAGATCCAACAAGGAGTGACAGTAAGCCTTTTGTGGGGTTGGCTTTCAAGTTAGAATTGAGCAAATTCGGGCAGTTGACTTACTTGAGATGTTACCAGGGCATGTTGAAGCGAGGCGATAATATTTTTAATTCGAGGACCGGAAAGAAGGTAAGTTTTAGTGAAACTTAAAATGATGCTTGTAAGTTAATGAAGGAACAGGGTTTATGTTTCGCCGCCAAATAGCAAAAGGCGCAATTCTTGTTGTGATTATTTCATATGTTTTGTGAGCATTATTTTGGTTAATATTTGAATTTAAAATATATTCAGCGCAAATATAATATTTTCAAGATTACGAAGTACGATGCCTTCTTCTTTTTATTTTATATTCATATTTTCATATAATAAAATCGTAAAAAAAATTGATAAAATGTACCTGAAACTTTTAACCTTAAAATAACCGACTCAACATAGGTACTCAAAATATTTTGTTGTTATTTTAGATCAAGGTATCGCGATTAGTCCGAATGCACTCCAACAACATGGAGGAAGTAAACGAGGTCCTGGCTGGTGATATATTTGCTCTGTTCGGTGTTGATTGTGCATCCGGTGACACATTTGTAAATGACTCTAAATTAGATCTGTCTCTGGAATCAATCCACGTTCCCGATCCTGTTGTGTCAATGTCTATAAAGCCAAAGAACACTAAGGATAGAGATAACTTTTCTAAAGCAGTAGCAAGGTAATTGATACTTCACATTTTCAAAATACTCACACCTTTATTAACGAAAATGTGTTTTTATACATATGATTTATTATTTTTCTAGTGCAAGTATTGTATAATTTCTGTGGTTTTTTGCTGTAATTTAATTTCTACAGTTATTCGTATTTTAAATACTTTGTCTTTTTATCCGGTTCGAGGGACCTTTTCAACTTTGAATATCCCTTTAATCATTTAAAGACAAAATTCTTATATGTAGCAGAAAGTGTGTAAAATTCTATAAAACTATAAATGTTTAAGTACATTTACTTAAGTCAAGAATGAATAAAAATATTATCTTTGTCTTTAGGTTTACCAAAGAAGACCCCACATTCCACTTCCGTTACGACAGCGATAATAAGGAGACCATCGTATCGGGCATGGGTGAACTTCATTTAGAGATCTATGCACAGAGAATGGAGCGGGAATACAATTGCCCTGTTGAATTGGGAAAACCTAAAGTAGCATTCAGGTAGGATGACCATACCGTATTGGGTATAACAGGTCTATAATGTACTCGAGCGATAATGCTATTTTTACGACAGCGTTATAAGGCATACTGCTTTCTTCTTTGTATAGAAGTAAGCTCGGTTTCTAAGCGTTAGACATTTTTTGTGGCAGATTCATTTTATCTAATTACGCAATTCAGTACTTCGAATTCGTATGATGCTAGCATCGACTGACGCCTAAAACAACGATTCAATCGAGGCGAGAGTTTCTGACGCTAAAAAGCTTTCAGCGCTCTCTTTTCCGCTGCATGCGTATTTGTCTAGCACGAAGTAGCGTGCGAGATTCGGTGGACAAAAAGTTACTTTATGAAACGATTAGAATTATTATGAGAATATAAAGGATCTAAATAGAATTGTAGCCGATTAAGAATCTAATTCAATATTATTATAGAAATGTTATATGGTTATCACTTAAAAAAATTACTTGAATGTTAAAACTTTTTTTTCTGGCGATTATAGTTATTTTATCTCGATTATTATAAAGAATTTGAAAATTCGTTGGATGAAGACTTAATTAAGTATTTCATGTAGGCAGAATTTTTTTCCGAGTATATACACTTTAGAGAAGTGTCAATGCTCGAGCGTCAAAATCGTGTCTTAAATATAATATTTTCGCCCAATCTGGTCTTCATTAAACTCAAACAGCTGCACGTTGACACATGAAAAAATAAGTGCTCCTAAACCATGCTGCTTGCTTGCTGGGCTTCCCAACACTGCGAAGTTGATTTTTGTTCAGTAACTATATTTCCGTGTCGTTGAAAATGCATTTCGCTTATAGTAAGATAATCAACCTTGTACTAAATGAAAAAAGAAAAAAACTAGGGACATAATTTAAGTTTTTTGATTTTAGAGAAACAATGACGTCACCATGTACCTTCGACTACCTGCACAAAAAGCAATCTGGTGGCGCAGGACAATACGCCAGAGTTATCGGTATCATGGAGCCACTGCCCCCTCAACAGAATACCTGTAAGCTAAACAAAACACTAATTATATTATTTAAATATTGAATATTATGGAACATTAAGATACTCGAGCACAGACAAATAGGCTCGAGTACGAACATGGAAATGACATGTCGGGTGTGCTCACTACTCGGTCCGAGCATTCGAATGTACTCCATTTGATGTCGGTTTTTTAGCATGGTCAAAGATATATTCGTGTGTATTCGTATCGGTGCTTACACACTCTTCGTTATTTAGTTGACTTGAACTATTATTATAACTTACTCAGCCAATCTACCGCTATAATTTTCTCTAATACCTTACTTTGACAAAATATATAAAAAATATATAAGTAAAAATATAAAAAATTCACAGGAGCGAAACTACTTTTATATATTATAATGAATGCTAACTATTTCTACTACTGCTGTCTTTTCATCTTTTTCCATTTAAAATATTAGTGAGTCTATAGAAGTTAATTTATATTTATTTTATATTTATTTAATTTATTAGTTATGTAGACACAATGTCGTAGCAACGAAACGTACATCACCCATGTTTAAAAACTCTATGTTGAATGAATACAGACGAATATGTAAATGCGTTGTACGTGTCCATGAATAACTCGGCGAGTTATTATCCTATAATCTAAATGTGCCATTATGGAAACATTTTTAAATTCACAAAATTTTATCATTTATAACTACTTCATAAACGTCAATTAAGGTTTCAAACACAAACCGTCGTCTTATAAAAAGTAATTAGTAATTAGCCTCATGTTTAAACTAGAGTTTAACTAATAAAGAAGTCCCGTGGAAAATGGAAAAATATGTGAAGTATGAAATTTGACAGTAAAAGTCAAATTTCGCGAAGACTAGGGTTCGTGCTAAGACTTATTTATCAATAAACTGTGTTTTGTAATAAGACCTATAATGTTCTCAAAATTTCCATTAGTTTAGACAAGCGTTATCAATGTAACATTCGATGTAAAAATCCAGACATGTGATTGACAAGTTTGCTTTACCAAGAGTCATGCCTATATAATACGAGTTAATGATGAAAATAAAATGACCTAAAGATTGTTTGAAACTACAAATCGTTATTTTAGATTATGATATTATAAGCTATTGTTAGAGCCGGGGGCTGGTAATAAATGACGATACTTTTTTATTGTTACCTGTATTGATTTTACGATTTTTGTCATAGTGCTGGAGTTCGTGGATGAAACCGTAGGAACAAATATTCCAAAGCCTTTTGTACCCGGCGTCCAAAGAGGTTTCATAGATACTTGTCAAAAAGGATATCTCTCAGGCCACAAAATATCCGGCGTGAAGTTCCGCCTGCAAGATGGTGCTCATCATATTGTTGACTCTAGTGAACTTGCTTTCTTCCTCGCTGCTAAGGGAGCTGTGAAAGAAGGTAATTTGTGAATGTGTTACATGTTATTATTGAAATACAATTAACACCAACAAGCCAAAAGTCAAAGCTGTATTTAGAAAGATTTATAATTCTACATTACACTATCAATATACATAATTATGTCGGTTATCATTTAGATTGGGTTGGGTGGCTTGGTATTATGCGACCCAACATTGACTAATTTTGTTTCTAGAAAATGAACAATATACTTGAAAATGTAGAAAAATTAACGGGCTTTATTCAAAACAAATTTTGTACTTCTATAATTCTGGCACCAAGCTCATCATAATAAAACTGTCATAATTAACAAACATAACATTACTCTGCTGCAAAATAACCGGACCAGTGATACTTTTTTCTTACTTGATATTTCAAAAATTTTTGTTCTGATACATGCGTTATTGATTTCATTTTGTAGTAATGATCTCACTTTCGTTGAATAACCTTTTGTGGTGTATATGAGAACTCAGAGTATGTTAAAGACCCATAAAACCTATGTGGTACGTTTTGAAACCATCGCCCTATTAAGGGATAAATTATGATTTGCCTTTTTATCTAGTTCGAAGGACCTATTTTCAAATTAAATGCATTTTCTATAACTGAGCGGTAAACGTACTTATTGATATAATATGGTCACATTCATTATAAGTTATTATATAACTTAGTTCGATTACAAGTATAAATCTTATAATATTGATATTTACTAACAACAATTAACTATTTCAATAAAGTTATTATTTAATTTGTGTATTTCAGTGTTTGAAAATGGATCCTGGCAAATTCTAGAACCAATTATGTTTGTGGAGGTGACCATGCCAGAAGAGTTCCATGGTACAATTGTTGGACAGTTGAACAAAAGAGGAGGCATTGTAACTGGCACTGAAGGCTCTGAGGGATGGACAACAATATATGCTGAAGTACCTTTAAATAATATGTTTGGATATGCAGGCGAGTTAAGGTATGAAATAACAGGTTATATTATACTAGCTGTTTTCTGAATAAGGGCACTTAATTGCCCTCACATTATCTTGTCCGACGTAATGTTTTGTGATATCGAGAATTTTCTTCTTCTGTCCGTCCATTTAATGTGCGAGTGACTGTTGCCATATTAGCCGAAAAATAATTGGTGTGGTACTCAAACATTAGCATCGGTTAGGGTTTGATTAATAGACTACAGCTGAATAGTTGGTACGTTGAACTTGAACCATAAACGAGTAGTGTTAATATTAATAATTATAGTTGATGACTGTATGTATTTCTCTTTTTACCAAGATGTCTGAAATTCTATTTCTTCGTGTCGCATCGTAGTAAATAAATCTAAGATGAATGGTGTTGCTATTTTTTTATAGGATAAGGGTAACACAGTCCACCTGATGGTAAGTGGTTGCTGTGGCCCATTGACATCTACTTCTATCCTCGTTTGCAAATCAAAATGCAGATGCGTTGTCAGCCGTGAAAACCAAGATGAAATTCCTCTTTTCCAGTAAAAAAAGGTCTCCGGTTCTCTACACTCACCATACGAAACACAGTAGAGTTAAGCTGCTATTTTACGCTGGTATTCTGTGAGAGCGTAGTCCTTCCCCGGTCGAGCCGATCCATTCGTGCTACAACTATACAATTAATATAGCGGCAGCATGGCTCTACCACATATAAAAATTTACATTTTACGGAATGATAGTCCCCATCTTTCGTAGTGCTTGGTCTTATTTATATCTCTATCTCATATTATGCTGTTTTACTTAAGATCGACTTTCTTTTTCATTTCATTAACATTTTATTTCGGTATATTTTCAGATCAATGACACAAGGTAAGGGTGAGTTCAGCATGGAGTACAGCCGTTATTCACCTTGTCTACCAGATGTCCAGGAACAATTGATCAGGAAATATCAGGAGGAAATGGGCCTGTTACCCGATCAAAAGAAGAAGAAGAATTGATGCTCCGCCTAGATGATTATTTAGAATAATTTTATTTATAAATAATAATTTAAGTTTGTAAAATAGTTACTTTAAATGAAGTCTGTAAATAAATGATATATACATATTATTTCAATGTCGTTTTATTTTATATTTATCTCCCTTTCATTTGAGGAATTTTTAATATAATAAGGGTGATAAGCAAGTACACAGTCCAACTAATGGTATGTTTTTTTTTTATAGAAGAGGGGGCAAACGAGCATGCGGCTCACCTGATGGTAAGTGACTACCGCCGCCCATGAACAACCGCAACACCAGGGGAATTGCAGATGCGTTGCCGGCCTCTTACAAAGGTGTAAGCTCTTTTCTTGAAGGTTACTAAGTCGTATCGGTCCGGAAAATTCGCTGGTGGTAATTGATTCCACAAGGAAGTTGTGCGAGGGAGAAAACTTCTAAGTCGCACAGTGGTGGACCGCCAATCATCCAGATGGTATGGATGGTAACGCGAGTTTTGTCGCGATGTGCGATGCTGAAATTGAGCGGCTGGAATTAGTCCGAACAATTCCTCAGAGTACTCCCCGTGATAGATACGATAAAATACGCAAAGAGATGCAACATCTCTATGCAGTGCCAGTGTATCGAGCCGATCAGAAAGAACTCGGTCATCGACGATTCGAGCCGCTCTGCGCTGGATGCGATCAAGTGGAAGGAGCTGGCACTGGGGTGGACCGGCCCAGAGATGAGAACAGTATTCCATGTGGGGTCAAACTTGCGCTGTGGTCTATAGGCACCTAGATCTATGCTTCATTTAGAATCAAAATGCTATAATTTTAGGGTTCCGTAGTTACACAAAAAGGAACCCTTATAGTTTCGCTATGTCCGTTCGTCCGTCCGCGGTTTTGCTGAGACCCAAATACAAATCTGCATTCTTATTTTGGGTACTACCCATACAAGTAAATGGAAGATGATTTTTTTACCCGTCTATTCTATTCCACAATGTGTGGTATCGTTGGATAAGTCTTTCAAAAACAATGGGGGTGTGGAACAACATCTTTTCGATTCAGGGTTCGTTTGCGAAATATTTAGCTTTAAAATGGTATTTTTCATTAGAATCCTGTATCCCCCTCCCCCCTTCTAAAAACTAAACCGCTGTTTTTGGAAATTTGAAAAGTATACACGATAGTAGTTTATACTAGCTGTTCCCCGCGACTTCGCCTGCGTGTTATTTGGGATTTTAATTTTTTTGCGCGGAACCCTAATTCTTTTTCTAAAATAAAAGTAGCCTAAGTTACTCCTTGTGACATCAGCTATCTGCCAGTGAAAATCCTGTCAAAATCAGTCCAGCTGTTTCGGAGATTAGCCGGAACAAACAGACAGACAGACAAAAACTTTAAAAATTGTATTTTTGTTATTACTACCGTATATACTTTCATATGCATTTAGTAAAAAGCTGTAATTTTGACATTACAAACAGACACTTCAATTTTATTTATTTGTATAAATAATGAAGTTAAAAGAAAAACTATGACAGCTACGTAGAATTAAGAATTTAACGAGTAATAGTCGACCAACTAATAAAAGGCACTTGGATTAGTAAAAATTTCGTTACAACTCCAGAGAAATAGACCTAAAACTGACTGCATTGTAACTTTGTAATGCTATTGTAAACTGTTAAAAATAAACATTTTATGAAGAAAACGACTGCTTTACTACTATAACTTTATTTTTTCACTAACGGGATAGGCAGGGAGGATCTTTCTTTCTTACTTACTACTTTCATTTATTTTTTAATAGGTAGTTATTGTGGGCCTCATCATTCGTTACACTCTTGGTTTACGAGGGCGACCTCGGGATAATTTATTGCAGTGGTGGTTCACGCGAAGGTTCGTTACGGTCATATATGTATATCTTAAGGTTGCAGTGCCGGGAATATGTAGATAGATCGTCAACTATGATTATCTTTGTACCTTGGCATGTGAATGATTTGATGTAAATTGTATAATTTTCAAAATCGATTTATTTATATTTTTTGAATGCCACTCACTATAAGACGTCTGATTTGAAAATAAGTCCTTCAGCTACTATTTTCCTATTTAGGTCAAATTTTAGTAGTTATAGCGGTCAAAACCGCGATATGCTCATTATCAAGATACCCTATATATATATATATATATATATATATATATATATATATATATATATATATATATATATATATATATATATATATATTTACAGGTTATAGGTTAAGTCGACCTAGATCCATTAAGGGGTTGTAGTGTGTATCATTTCTGACTGATTTGACTATCAAACACCATACCCCAAACTGAACCGTTTTTTAATACAGGACTTTAAAGTTTTTTCATAAAATAGACGAATTTTTTGTCTATTGTCTATTTATTTTGTAATTAATGCCTCTAATTTATTTAATTTTTCAATTTTTGTGTAGTAGATAAGTTTGAAGAATTGTTTTATTATTATCAACAATAACATTGAAAGTGACTAAACAAATTGCGTCGTACTCGTAGATTGAAGGTTAGAAAAAGGAATAAATTCGTAAAAAGTATTTTCTTTTTATCAGGAATATTAAAAAAAGGGTATGCTAGGTATGCTGCACATGCGCTTATAAATATCTACGTTTCTTCAGCTATCCAAAAAGGTATAACACTTATGGGTATTATTGTAATTAATAGAAAAAAAATTAAATGAAAAGCTCCCAGGTAGTACGAGGGCGACACTGAAAGTTTTTGAACTGGCCACTTGTAAACGATATAATAAAAAAAAAATAAGTTCAAATTTTGAAAGTGGAACTTTTTGCCAATATTATTGTGTATTATTTTATTAATTTGTCATTTATTTACGATTTGGCGGCAAATTGAAAATTGTCTGTGTCACGTCAGCATGAATTTAACGCGAGAAAATTTTCGTACAATGATTTTTTATGACTCGATGTCATTTAAGTCAACAAAAAAGTTATGATATACTTCGATTGGCCTTTCACGGTGAAGCCCCATCTCGTGCCACTGTTTACAACTGGTTTAATGAGTTTAAACGTGGTTGCACTAATCTCACCGATGATCTGCGTGAGGGACAGCCTTCTACAGCGACGACTCAAGATAACATCAGTTTTGTGCGGCGTATGATAGAGACAGACAAAAGAGTGACTTATCAGCAGATTCGGACAAGCTTAGGTATCGGCATGAGTCAAGTGCACAAAATCCTCCATGAACATTTAGCGGTCAGGAAGCTTTGTGCCCGGTATATACCTCATAATTTGACAGAGGCCCAAAAACTCCGTCGTGTTGATGGTGTCGTGAAATGGTTAAAATATTTAACGGAGGTGACTCAAATGCTGTGTTTAACATACTTACGGGTGACGAAAGCTGGTTTTATTGTTATGATCCTGAAACTAAGAGACAGTCTGCTGTCTGGCTGTTTGCTTCCGAGGAGTTGCCAACTAAAGTGAAGAGAGTATTGAACGGTATACCTAAGGGGTGGCATATGTTCAACTATGGACAGTAAGAATGATTTAACGGGCGACAAAATTTTAACTTGAGAGTTAAATGTAATGATGTAATAATAATAATAATAATAATAGCAGCCCAGTCAGCCTCTCGGGTCATCTGAGGCGACTGGGACTCCGTGACGGACCGCTCCAAGCTCAAATGCAGAAGGCGGTGCTCCTCGATACCGCCCGCATCGTCCGCCGGTTTCTTTCCCTTTCCCCCTAACCCTCGGCCGTTTGGTCTCCCCTGCCGAGGGCTTCCATCTGGTTGGGTTTTTATTTATTTATGTATTTTTTATGCATTTATTTTATTTTGTTGATATTTATGTATGTTTATCATTTTCATTTACAATTATATATTTATACAGCCCAACCAGATGAGTAAACTATATAGATGCCCCAAATAATAATAATAAAATATTTATTTGCATAAAACATGGTACATTTTTAGGTCTTATAATATAGTGTGAACAGGCATGTTTTACCGATTTATCAGTATGCAAATATTAAGTCGACATGCAATAATTGAATAATTAAAATTACAAAATTACAAAAACGTTTCATATCAAAATTTAATAAAGCAATATAATGTCAATAAATTTATTATATAAAAAGAAAAAAAATAATAAAAAATATACAGGCATGGTCATGTCATAATGCATAATGTCAAACTAGTATAATGTCAATCTTACAAATTCGAATTCATTTGTCAATTTAAAATTTCAAATAACAACAATTCGCTTGAGGTGACCGTCACGGCAGAATTTAATAAATTCATTTACGTCATAAAAACAGTTTTCAATGAGAGTCCCGAAAATAACTTTTTTAAACTGATTAAATGTCAAGTTTTGAATATGGTTTGGAAGTAAATTAAATAATCGAACGCACATGCTACAACTATTTCTAGTAAAACAAGTTGTGGCTGCCTGGGGTACAGATAACTTCCACGGGTACCTTCTCATACCACCACAATTATTATGTTGTTTTGTGAAGTGGTTAGCATTTTTTTTGGTCAATATTAAAATTTCATATATATATATATATATATATATATATATATATATATATATATATATATATATATAGGGATATACATGTAGGTATAGGCATCTACTTGCAGAAATCACAGTTACATTAATTGCGCTCGCCGTGTATGTGAGGCGTAAGAGAACTCACTACTTCATTTCATCCCGTTGGTGTCATAAGAGGCGACATAGGGAAATGAAACGGGAGATGAGCTGCAGCATCTTTCTGATAAAATTAAAAAAAAAAAACTATTCCGCCAGTCAAGCATGGCAAATGCTGTTTAGCTTATGAGACGATATATGGGCAAGGATTCAGCAGTAGGTTTCTTGGTTATGATGAATAAATTTATGACAAATGAATTTGTATACTGTAGAATTTGGTAATACCTTAATTGTTCCTTAATTGAACTTTTAAGTTCGATAATCACTCTAGTTTTATAAAACAAATAACACTTGCGACTAATAGATAATTTTTAAAATAAATTTATTCT